TGATATCCGAATGACATTCGGCATCTGCACAAAATAATTTTTGCTCGTTGAGGCGAAGAGCCATGGCCTTATTAGTAGGTCACATCCTTTTCTAGCGGTTCTATTTTATTGGAAGTATTTAAAATTGTTAAGATACACACACCATCATTGAGAATAATTATATAATCTACGGTTGTTGTTGTTGTTCCACATCCCTAATTATTAAGAAGGGGAATCGGGACGATTTCAAAGCTCTCATGAAACTTGTCATTTATTATTACAATCATCAAGCATGTTTAAGAGCGAATAATTCTCACATATGCTCTGTGCATATGTTAGTTATTAATGTTAAAACTTTTGTTTGATAGGGATCGTGATCGTTGTACGTGAAGAATTTTAAAGACTCGAATTCAATACCTCTTAGTTGATAGCCAGTATTCTCAATCAACAAATTAAGATGAGCTATGTGTGTAGATCAGTTCTCATTAGAGCAAAAGGTAATCCTACATTTGAAGATGATTCTTGATATATCTCAAGACTCATCTCTTCTATAAAAAGTTGCCTCTAGTATATATATAAGGGGTGACTTTTTATCTATTAATTTAAAATTTGGGTTGGCTAATTAAATAAATAAAATTTTTTTGGTTGTTAATTTTGGTGGAAAAAAATGGCCGGTAATTTCAAAGGCATTTTTGACGAAAAAATTTATGGAATTGCTTATTTTTCTTATAATAGGTCATGATTGTCCACTAATTAATGAGTGTTTAATAGTCTACACAAATGATAGAAATTATTCTCAAGATATTAAAATAAATCTCTACTACATCATATTTTTACTTTAACAACCAAACTTCTTTAGCAAAATAGATCCTCACAATCATGGGAGAAATTATTCTGTACGTAGCCGAACATAGAATTGTGTTCGGATGCTGCGTATTTACTGTAGAAACTCATACTCTAATTCTTGAGGAGAAAGCAGAGAAAGAACGATGAAGAAGAACAGTAAAAGAGAAACTTTATTTCCTTTTTCCCACCTTCCATTACAGAGCCTATAACTATATATAATAGCTAAGGTTAAGCTTTACACGTGTACACCAGTAATTGGAGGACAAGAAGAGAATAAGTAATACATGATTTGAGTATTCTAACATTCCCCCTCAAACCGACAATTGGGTCCAATTGTCAGTTTGGATCGAAGAATTTTGAATCTAGGTGTGGAGAGAGGTTTTGTGAGAATATCCGCAAGTTGATCTTCACTACTGATAGGCAAAAGGCGAATGATCTTGTTTTGAATGTGATCCCGAACAAAGCGTTGATCAATTTCGATATGCTTCGTTCGAGCATGAAACACAGGATTATTCGCTAATGCGAAGGTAGAGGTATTGTCACAAAATAGATCAACGGAATGACAGTGATCAATGAGGAAATCAGCGAGAAGTTTCCTGATCCAGATTGTATCCGCTGTTGCTGAAGCTAACGCTCGGTACTCCGATTCTGTTGATGAACAGGAGACAGTTGCTTGCTTCTTAACTGTCCACGAGACCAATGTTTCGCCAAGAAAAGTACAAAATCCAGTTGTGGATTTACGCGTGATCGGGTCCGACACCCAGTCTGCGTCCGAGAAGGTTCGGAGCGTGAGGTTTGAACGTGTGATAGGAAGACCGAAAGCCACCGTGCCTTGTATATAGCGAAGCAGCTTCTTGAGCATAACCGTGTGGTGAGCTTCTGGACTGTGCATATGCTGGGATAGCATGTTAACTGCATAAGCTATGTCCGGTCGTGTTAAAGTGAGATATTGAAGGGAACCAATGATACGCCTGTAGGAGCTGTCTGAGAAGCACGGTTGATCGGTGGGAGAGATACCTGGTAATTTTGTGGACAAGGGATTAGCTACCGAGTTGCATTTTTGCAGCTCGGCAAGTTTTAGAATTGATTGGGCATAACGAGTTTGAGATAGAAAATACTTATCTGGAGATGAGTCTATCTTTATGCCGAGGAAGTGATGCGCATTACCCAAATTTTTCATTGTAAATTGCGATTGAAGCTGTGCTACCAGAGTCTTTATAGCTGAGGGATCATTGCCGGTTAGTAGTATGTCATCGACATATACTAGCAAGTAAATGTGAATATGTTTGCGATGAAGACTCAGCAGTGATGGATCGGCCTGGCTGTGTTTGAAGCCAAGTTGTAGAAGATAGGACGTAAAAGTTGTATACCACTGGCGAGGAGCCTGACGTAATCCATAGATTGCTTTTCTTAAGCGACAAACGTGCTCAGGATTGGAAGAATCTTCAAATCCTTTGGGTTGTTTCATATAAACTGTGTCATTGAGGTCGCCGTGTAAGAAGGCATTGGCCACGTCGAGTTGGTGTATTTGCCATTTGTAAAACAGGGCGATAGTGAAGAGGATACGAATGGTTGGTAGCTTGGCTACCGGACTGAATGTTTCCTGGTAGTCGAGACCTAATTCTTGTTGATTTCCTTGGGCTACAAGCCTTGCTTTGTGACGAGCAATCGAGCCGTCTGCATTACGTTTTGTTCGATATGTCCATTTTGAACCCAGAATGGAGCTATTCGGCGGAGGCGGAACTAAGTCCCACGTACCCTGTTTTTGTAGAGCGAAGAATTCTTCTGCCATTGCTCGTCTCCACTCAAAGTGTTTGTTTGCTTCAGTAAATGTCGTGGGATCTGTATCATTCATTTCAACATGTAATAAGTTAAGTTTAGTTACTGGCTTGAGTGAACCTGTGCGAGTGCGAGTGATCATGTGATGCGTATGTTCTGTTGCAGGGGCCCTCACTGATGCCACATTAAGATCGTTTCCAGATGGTTCTGGTATTGGTAAACTAGAAATCTGAGGCTGAGACGACGTCAGCTGGACATCAGAGAGCTGAACCGAATTATTGCTGGTTTTTGTAGAATTGGAAATTGAATGAGGTATAAGTAAGGATGGTGGTGTGAAGTCTGAGATTGGAGAGGCTTGTTCGGACCTGTTCTTAAACGGAAAGTTAGATTCATTAAATTTGACATTCCGAGAGACAATAATTTTATGAGTTTGGGTGTTTAAACACCGGTAACCTTTCGCAGTTTCTGCGTACCCAAGAAATACACACCGTGGGGATGTTGTTGTGAGTTTAGTACGTTGAGTGGGTGGTAACAAAGGATAGCATTCACATCCAAACGTACGCATGTGGTTGTAGGACGGAGTAGTGTTAAACATCCTTTGAAGAGGAGATGTATTTCCTGTGGTCGCAGACGAAAGGCGATTGATGAGATGAGTAGCGGTAGTTGCTGCATCAAGCCAGTACGAGAGCGGTAGGCCTGCTGTGTGAAGAAGCGTTCGCGTAGTAGTTATGAGATGACGATGCTTTCTTTCCGCAATTCCATTCTGCTCAGGTGTATAAGGGCATGTAGTTTGGTGAATGATACTGGCCTTGCGGGTAAAGTCTTTAAATTGATTGTTGATGAATTCACCGCCACAATCTGTCCTGATGACTTTCAATTTCCGATTTGTTTGTCGTTTGATTAAAGAGACAAATTGAATAAAGGTACTAGTAACTTCAGATTTAAACATAAGCGGGAAAAACCATATGAAACGAGAATAGTCGTCTACGAATATTACGTAGTATTTGAAACCTTGGTGAGAGGAGACCGGTGAAGGTCCCCAAACATCCGAGTGAATCAATTCTAACGGTGCAGAAGTTTTGCTCAAAGAATTTTCAAATGTCAGCTTATGACCTTTACATGAAGCGCAAAAATTGCAAAAAGACTTAGCAAAAGAAATATTAAGAGAGGGGTTTGAATGAGAGATCAGCCGCATGACTTGTTGATGAGGGTGCCCAAGACGAAGGTGCCAGTCCGGTTGAGACGGAGTATTCACCGAGAGAGCTTTAGTATGAGCGTTGAGCTGATCTGGGACGGTGTACAGACCATCTTTACACGGTCCCTGGAGGATAGGAAGACCTGTCATCCGATCCTTAAAGACAAAACCATTTGCGTCAAATGTAATTGAGATTGGATTATCTTTAACAAGTTTGGATATAGACAGTAAATTGTAAGATAAAGATGGAACATGAAGAAGACGAGATAAAAGAAGCGTACTAGACGGGGTAGGAAGGATGCCCGTTCCAGAGTGAGCAATTAGTATAGACCTTCCATCCCCTATGGTCACAGAATCTTGGCCGAGGTAGTTGCTTGCGGTTGCCAGATTTTCAAATTTATTTGTCATATGTGAGGAAGCCCCAGAATCGATGTACCAGTCTGTTGAGTTGTTGGTGTCGTAATTGGTGAGCAGAGCGGACTGGTTTTTGGAAGAAGGTTGATTTGGGATATAATTAGGATTGAGTCGATGCCAACACGCATCGGCTTGATGACCTTTCTTTTTGCATATTTGACACGTGATGTTGGATGCTTGGGAAGACTTGTTGGTAGTAACATTGTCAGTCGTTGATCGGCCTCGACCGCGTCTTCCACGTCCTCTGTATGTGTAGAGGGCTGTTTGAGCGTCTGGTATCTTGGGAAGCTTTAGCGCCGCTGCTTTGAGGTGGATTTCCTCACTCATAAGAAGCGCGTACAGTTGGTCGAGGGAAACAGAATTCTGCATCGTGCGAATGGTTGTAGTAAACGCCTGATACTCTGGAGGCAAACCGTTGAGAATGTATATCATTACATCTTCGGAATCCACGGACGAACCAGCAGACGATATTTGATCCACAATCTTTTTGACTTCAGTGAGATACTGAGTCATGGAGAGAGATTGCATAGCGATATTGTGGAGCTCGTTCTTGAGCTGTATTACCTTGGATCGGTTGGACGATTGGAACCGCGTATGTAGCGTTGTCCAGATGTCCGACGTAGATTCAAGATTGATGACATACGGTAGCACCGCAGGGGATATCGTTGAACACATGGCTGTAGCCAGATTTTGATCAATGACAGACCAAGATGAGGAATCTTGATTGGGATCGACATTCTCCGGTGCCGATTTTGAATCAAGAAACGGCGCAAATCCGTTTGCTTTGAATAACTTGGCAATTTGAGTGCTCCATATAGGGAAATTATCCGGCGTGAGAGCATGTGGAACAAGAAGTTTTAGATTGGAGATGACGAATTTCAACGACGGAGAGATTGTCGGAGATGGTTGCGCGACTCCGATCGTAGAACCAGAGGAGGCAGATGCGGAAGATTGAGTGGCCATGGCAATCGGCGAGGTCGTCAGTATCGAGCCGCTCTTGATACCATGTAGAAACTCATACTCTAATTCTTGAGGAGAAAGCAGAGAAAGAACGATGAAGAAGAACAGTAAAAGAGAAACTTTATTTCCTTTTTCCCACCTTCCATTACAGAGCCTATAACTATATATAATAGCTAAGGTTAAGCTTTACACGTGTACACCAGTAATTGGAGGACAAGAAGAGAATAAGTAATACATGATTTGAGTATTCTAACATTTACTGCTTATTTTACTGCATATTTTTTGATACATTATGTTTTCTACGTATTTTTTG